CAACGGCAGCAACAACATCAACCTTGACCGCTCCCTCTCATTCTCCTCCTCCTCAAGAATCCTCTACAGGCCTACCAAACCATCAGAAGCCACTTATGTCGTAAGCAAGGTCGATAACGAGAAGATCAAGGAGGAGGGAAGGGTGAGAGGGAGTGTAGACTTTTACTTGTTCGATTACTATGGTTCTGGTAAGGTCGAAGCCAAAAATGTGAAGAAAAAGAAGAAACATAAGTTTCTTTTGTCGAACAACGCATATGGATTCAGTCGCTCTTCTGACGATAATCTGTCCAATTCTGCGAGCAGCGATGATGAGTCGGAGAACCCATGGTCAAAGAGTTTCCCTCCTGATTCCTTTGAGTTCTATAAGCGCCCTTCTTCGAGAAAGAAGAAGAAGAAGAAGAAGAAGAAGAAGGAGAATGAGAAACACAATTTGCCTTCATCGTGCAGTGGTATTCCGGTGATGAAGATATCGACAGACCCTTACGTTGATTTTTGCGATTCGATGGTGGATATGATCCTAGAGAGGCAGTTGTTTGGAACCAAGGATCTTCAGGCATTGCTGCTTTGCTACCTGTCTTTGAATTCTCCGCATAATCATTCCATCATACTTAGAGCCTTCGCTGATGTATCTCAAGTTCTCTTTGGTCATTGATAGAGACTCTTCCTCTCGCTCCCTGAACTACTTGACTTCTCTCTAGTCACCGAGTAGTTCTTGGTTAGTGTTTTCTCGGTAATGTGATTGTTTTCTAGATGTTGTTGATGCTAATCAATGAATTAATAGCTGTCCTTAATCTTGTTCATCTTTTCAGTGGTATCTCAAGTTTAGGTTTGTTCATTTTTGTGATGATTATCCGAGAAATACAGCCACCGGACAGAAACAGCAACAGGCTAACTTTTCTCTTGTCTGTAGTTAAGAAGCAGAGTCTAGGATTCTGTCAACCTGGCTGCGGCGTTGACTGCTGATCAAGGATTAGCTAATGGATTTTGATGGTCTTATCCCCTTCAAATGCGCGCATTCGTAGCAAACAACTAGCATAAATCCGTGGGCGTTCATTTGACTAATATTACTCATGTGGTCGTTCTTAAAAAGTCGTCTCTCCTACTACATAAAGTTGCAAGATAAGTTGAAAAACTGAGTTTTCTTTATGCAAATTTATCTTATTATATTATTATTATGTTGAATTTAATCTAATAAATCTATTTGTGGGCACATATGATTAATCAATGTGTATTGCTATCTTTCAGGATAACCCACTAAAGTGATCAATTAATTTGGGTTAATTGGGTATTTAAATAAGTCATGGGGTTATATGTGCAGATACCAGGTTGTAATTGTGATTTGTTGAGGGGCCAAATTGCAAATGTACAACATCTATAAATAAGGGGTTATGGTCCCTAACCTAGGGTTACATTCTCTAATTCTCTTCACCCCCATCTAGAGAGAAATTCGGCTAGAGAGAACCCTAAGGTTAGAAGATCAAAAACCCATCTCAAGTTTAAGCAATGGATTCAGGTATAAGCTTCCGCTCCTTTATGATTCTTGTTAATCTCTTCGAATTAATCAATGGCTTATGGTTTTAGATCTTAAGTTTTATGTTTTAGATATAACAAGTGGTATCAGAGCCACCTTTGATTAATTCTTAGGGATTTAAGTTCTTAAAATTGGGTTTTTTGATCCACCTTTGATTAATTCTTAGGGATTTAAGTTCTTAAAATTGGGTTTTTTGATCTTAAAATCTCTGTTTTGGTTAAGATCTGTTCTCGGATGAACAGTAAACTCTGTTTTGGTTAAGATCTGTTCTCGGATGAACAGTAACGTTCGGATGAACAGTTACGTTTTTTATTTGTCGGATGAACAGTAAAGGTTTTTTGGATGAACAGTAACTAAAAAAATCGCTGGTGAACAGTAACTTTTTGGAGTTTTTTGGATTTTTCGGCGGTTTTTTCTTGGATCTGGATCAAGAAAAATTTTCCGATTCTGGATCTGTTTTTGAAAAAAAAAATCAAAGTATTTTTTTGGGTTTGATCGGCGGCGGTTTCATTTTGAAACCCTAAGGGTTCGTGCGTGAAAACGTGGCGAAAATTAAGGAGGTGGTTACCTCAAACGAACTTCGCGTTCGTTCTCATCAAACGAACTTCGCGTTCGTTCTAGCATCACGCTCAAATCAAACGAACCTTGCGTTCGTTCTAAGGTGAGCCTCGCGCTCAGTTCTAAGGTGAGCCTCGCGCTCAATTTAAACGAACTTCGCGTTCGTTCTAAGGTGAGCCTCGCGCTCAGTTCTAAGGTGAGCATCGCGCTCAATTTAAACGAACTTCGCGTTCGTTCTAAGGTGAGCCTCGCGCTCAGTTCTAAGTTGAGCCTCGCACTCAATTTAAACGAACTTCGCGTTCGTTCTAAGGTGAGCCTCGCGCTCAGTTCTAAGGTGAGCCTCGCGCTCAGTTTAAACGAACTTCGCGTTCGTTCTAAGGTGAGCCTCGCGCTAAATTTCAGTCGAACCTCGCGTTCGTATTTCAGTCGAACCTCGCGTTCGTTTTCAGTCGAACCTCGCGTTCGTATTTCAGTCGAACCTCGCGTTCGTATCTCAAGTTGAACCTCGCGTTCATTTTTTAAACGAACCTCTAATTTATTCAATTAAGTTATGGGCCCTAATTAAGCTGTGAGACCCCAATTAAGTTTTTGGAAATTCAGTTGATTTAAATTTTTTAATTTAAATCTAATTTGGTTTTTAATCAATTATTTAATTCAAATATTATGACACTAAGGTATTAAGGTTGTCTCTCACTCCAATTGATTAATTGAAACAAGAAGTTGCCAAAGTAACCTCTCTTGTGTAGATTGTTCATGAGGAATGTGAGATGTTTGTGTGTATGCTTTCGTGTAAATATTTAATCGGCCCAAAGGAAGGTTAATATTTATTTAGACTGTATACACATCTGCGATGATAAGCGTGTGACAATTATAAGGTTTACATGTGAATAATGAATCGATCCAAAGATAGTTTCATTATTTGACATGAGTTATTGTCAATGTTTGATCATTGCAACAAGGTATCACTTACAAGTTAATATTACTGTCCAAAGACTTGATATTAATGTTGTGCCGGTATCTTGGATGGGGATTGTCATTATTTGAATTTTATTGATTATGGTTATTGATGTGAGCATTTGTTGTTTTATTTCAGCTAATGCATCTGCTGCAACAATTTCTGCTAACATCAACTCAATTCCCATGCTAAATGGGACAAACTTCAAGGTTTGGAAAGAGAACATATTAATTGTTCTTGGCTGCATGGATCTTGACTATGCATTAAGAACTGAACAACCCCAACCTCTCAATGCGGATAGCACTCCTGATGCAAAGAAGGAGCATGAGAAGTGGGAGCGTTCAAATCGCATGAGTCTTATGATCATTAAACGCGGCGTTCCGGAAGCCTTCAGGGGCATAGAATCCGAAGGGATTACTAAGGTTAAAGATTTCCTTGCCGAAATTGAGAAGCGTTTTGCTAAAAACGATAAGGTAGAAACAAGCACGCTTTTAGCTCTCTTGATTTCAATGAAGTATAAGGGCAAAGGAAATATCAGGGAGTACATTATGGAAATGTCTCATATTGCTTCAAAGCTTAAGGCACTTAAACTCGATCTTTGTGATGAATTATTAGTGCATCTGGTTTTGTTATCTCTTCTTGCACAATTTAATCAGTTTAAGGTCAGTTATAACTACCAAAAGGAGAAATGGACTCTAAATGAGCTCATTTCATACTGTGTGTAAGAAGAAGACAGGTTGAAGCAAAATAAGACAGAAAGTGCTCATTTGGCCTATGCCTCTAAGGATAAGGGCAAGAAAAGGAAGAATGATAATGAAGCTGCTAAGGGTCCAGTTGAGAAGAAACAACATAAGGATAATCAGGGTTGTTTCTTCTGTAAGAAGCCTGGACATGTAAAGAAGGACTGTACAAAATATCACGCCTGGCGTGATAATAAGGGTACGTTCCTTGCTTTGGTCTGTTCTGAGGTTAATTTAGCTTCAGTACCTAGAAACACTTGGTGGTTAGACTCTGGTGCTACTACTCACATAAGTGTTTCTATGCAGGGTTGCCTGAGCTACCGAAAGCCAAGTGATGTTGAAAGACACATCTTTGTGGGCGACGGACAATCGGTAGATGTGGAAGCAATTGGGCACTTTAGGTTGTTGTTAGGAACTGGTTATTATTTGGATTTAAAAGATACTTTTGTAGTACCGTCTTTTAGACGGAATTTGGTTTCTGTTTCTGTATTGGACAAATCAGGTTATTCTTGTTCATTTGGAAACAGTCAATTCAGTTTATCTTTTAATTCAAATGTTGTGGGAACCGGTTACTTGAGTATTTATGACAACCTATATTTGCTTGATACAATTGCTTCTTACAATGAATCCTTGCATGTGGAATCACGTGGTACTAAGCGTAAATTAAATAAGGAAAATTCGGCGACATTATGGCATAAGCGCTTAGGTCATATCTCAAAAGGTAGAGTTGAGCGTCTTGTGTCTGATGGCATTTTGGATTCCCTTGATTTTTCGGACTTCGACGTATGTGTTGAATGTATCAAGGGAAAACAGACCAAAGTGAAGAGATTAGGTGCCAACAGATCTTCGGATGTCTTAGAATTGATACATACGGATATTTGTGGGCCATTCCCTACGGAATCCTGGAATGGTCAACAATATTTTATATCATTCATAGACGATTACTCACGTTATGGGCACCTATATCTTATTCATGAAAAATCTGAGTCTCTGGACATGTTCAAAGCCTATAAAGCTGAAGTTGAGAATCAACTCAACAGAAGAATTAAAACCGTCAGATCTGATCGTGGTGGTGAGTACTACGGTAGATATGATGGTTCAGGTGAACAACGTCCAGGACCATTTGCTAGATACCTAGAGGAATGCGGTATCGTCCCACAGTACACCATGCCGGGTTCACCTAGCATGAATGGTGTAGCTGAAAGACGAAATAGGACTCTTAAGGATATGGTAAGAAGTATGATTGCTCATTCTTCTTTACCAGAGTCACTCTAGGGAGAAGCACTTAAGACAGCAGCTTACATTCTGAATAGAGTACCAAGTAAAACGGTTGCTAAAACACATTATAAGCTTTGGACTGGTCGAAAGCCCAGTTTAAAGCATTTACATATTTGGGGATGTCCAGCTGAGGCAAGGCCTTATAGGCCGAATGAAAAAAAAATTGGACTCCAAAACAGTTAGCAGCTACTTTATTGGGTACTCTGAACGTTCTAGGGGCTATAAGTTTTATGATCCCACTATAAGGAATATTTTTGAGACGGGAACAGCAACATTCTTTGAGGATGTTGAGTTTGGGGGGAGAAATAAGGTTAGAGACATTAGTTTTGAGGAGGAATTGGCTTCAGATCCAATCCATACAGTTACTTTTGACAATATTCAGGTTCCTATACCTGTTGTTGCTCAAGAAGTAAATCCGGAACCTCAAGATGATAATGTTGAACAACTCCCTGTTCCAGAAGAACAAACTCAACAACCTCAAGAACCAGTGTCATTAAGGAGATCCACGAGAGAAAGGAGAAATGCTATTTCGGATGATTATATTGTATTTCTTCAAGATCATGAGGAAAGTAGTGGAATGTTGGAAGATG